TGAATTCTCTGGTTCATGGCGAGAAGCATTCTTGGATTTATCTTTTCTAGACAGACTTTCGGTTGTGAGAACCATTGCTTTTCCCTTGTCCATGGTGATATCAGTTGAGAAGCGTGAAACCATATTTCCCGAGAGAGTCCCTTATAAAGAGTGTAAGATTTTATCAAAAGATGTGATCCGAATGACTAGCCATGAACACGAATAACACGCGTGAAGGAATATATGTATTTCCAAGAAAGAGAGTCCTGTCATAGAGATTCCATTGTAGGTGTGAACAGAAACAAATAAAGTTTCGTTCATCACATGATTAAGATTAAGCTCAAAACATTCAAACCAGGATTTTATTATTCAACCAAACGAGAGAGACAGATACATAAAATAAAATACATAATCCACAAGATTAGTTTTTCTTCCTCTCGTTTGCCTTCTCCTCATGAGTCTCAGCTTTCGGCTTCTTGAGTTCTGCCCACATTCTTTTGTACCATTTTCCGGTACGCAGAAAGTTAGAGTTCGTAGACGAAGTGGGTTCTTCCTTGCTTTCAGATTTGATCTCTTCATTTAGATATTTGACATAATCTTCATCATGATACTTGTTAGGCATAGCAGCAGGACTCGTTTCTTGTTGAGGAACTTCCTCTTCAGGGGGGGGTTTCCTCGGGCTCCTCGACAATGAAGCCAGCCATTTCATCATACAGAGATGATGTTTCAGTATCAGATGAGATCTCTAATGGTGCTTGAAGGCTGTTGCCTGGATACTTGTCTCCATGTTCTTCTCTTATTTTCCTGGCGAGTTCTCGTTGTTTGCGAGAATCTCCCCTTGTAAAAGGCTTTTTAGGAGCCATTTGTGAAGATGAGAATGGTATAGAAGAGTGAGATATGTCCCCTTTTTATAGGTAGATCATGTGGAGGAATCGATGTGAAACTACCCACAACATTCAATTCTATAATTAATGGCCATGTATTTATTCAACTGACAATTAATGGCGTAGAAGACTTTGAATGGACATTTTCAAGAATATCATAATTTCAGGGTCAGTGAGATGATTCCAAGGTATTCAAACATCAGACAGTCAGAGATCTATGCCAGAAAATCTTCATTAATTAAAGACACAAGACATAGATGGATAGAAATACATAATTCAAGGATGATAATTAAACACATAACAACGAAACTTTCATTTCTTTCCTTTTCCTTTCTTCGTGTTACTGGTTTCGCCCGTGGTGACCTTAGAAACTTTCTTTGATGTAGGGGCTTTTGGATGCGATGGTCCACCGCCAGGATGCATTTCCTCATCAGATTCTCCTTCAATATACCCCACAAGTTCAGATTTGCAATCATAATGTCGATAGAAGTCCCTAAGATCTCTGTCCATAGTGAGATCGTTCCAGGATTCCAGTGTCAAGAAGCCCTTTTTAACAATCAGAGGGGGTTCCTCATTGGGATCAAAAGATCTGGCATCTCCATCAGCATCTCTTTTGATGAATTCATCAAAATCCTCACTTTCCGAGTCGGATGAAATATTCAGAGGATTAATAGGATTATTTCCAGGATTATGATTGCCTTGTTCATCCTTTTCCGGATGAGCTCGGGTTCTTCTTGATACTTTCTTGGTGATTGAAACTTTAGGGGCCATTGGTGAGGAGAGGGATGCATTTGAGCAAAACCAATGTCCTCCTTTTATAGCAATTTGAGATTAGAATTAATGCTTTATCCAAAGGTTAACCATTAGGAGAGTCTATGGTTCCTGTAGAGCCAATTAGCATTAGATTCATGCACTCATTGTCATTTTTGAGATGATTAAGAGATAATGCTTTATGACATAATTCAATCTTTGACCCGAAAGAGATAGTCTGACATAAAAGATTCATGGTCAAAAGAGTAATTAGTAAAGCCAATAAAGATAGATAATTTCATTGAGAGGAATCATGCAGAGATACATCAAGCCATACAGATAGAAACAAACATAGTTCAAAGAAAACGATAAGGCACGTGAAGCTCCAGACGAGTCAACTCATCAGTCACGTCAGACAAGTTTGCCTTGTTTGCATATTCGTCCAGTTCCTCTAGAGAGAGAGTGGACGTGGTTTGGTTAGTTGGTGACTGAGAGTGAACTAGATTGAAGTCTTCATAAGACTTCTTACTCTTTTGTGGAGCCTCAGTAACTGGGTACCAACGAAAGGTGTGTGGGTGAGATGAGTGCTTGTTAGCGTTGTTCAAAGCCATCTTCCTTTCGTTAGCCAGTTGTTTTGCCTGTGCCAGACATTTGTCTTTCATGGCCAGAGATTCGTTGACAACTTTTTCCTGAATTTTTCTTTCTTTCGGGGTGGCCGAGTTTGGCATGGTGAACGTTACATAGACCCTATCACCATCTTCCACTATTTTCGTTATTGTGGCACTTGTCCGTTTGCCTGCTTCTCGAAGATGATGATCACGCCGAATAGCTCGTGTCTTGGCCTCATCCATCTTTCTTTTGCCCTTATCCATACCTGCAAAATTTACTTACTAAAAGACTGATTGTGTGAGAAAAATTCATGGATGAAGGTCTCAATTTATAGATGCAGAGGTTGCGTGTAAGAGTGAACCAAATCTTTATGAAGAATATCGAGGAGATTTTATGAGGATATTGTGATAATCTTTGCAGATTTGATTCCCGAGTTTTATGCCATCTCAATCATCCCGATTTCATGTCTTAGAGTAGAGAATCTTGCTTCACTCAAGGGTTTTGTGAGAATATCTGCAAGTTGATCATCAGTATTGACATAATCAAGAGATATATCCTTTCTCTCAACATGATCACGAATAAAGTGGTACTTAATGTCAATATGTTTGGTTCGTGAATGTAACACAGGATTATGCGTGATGGCAATTGCACTAGTGTTATCACATTTGATGCTCACTTCTCGTGCATTTATGCCATAATCCTTTAACTGATGAATCATCCAAAGAATTTGAGCACAGCAACTTCCAGCTGCTATGTATTCGGCCTCAGCCGTACTGGTAGCAATTGAATGTTGCTTTTTTACTGAACCAAGACACAAGTCTTCCCCCTAGGAGCTGACAATTTCCTGAGGTGCTTTTTCGATCAATTCGGCATCCAGCAAAGTCGGCATCCGAATAGCCAACAAGGTCGAAAGTTCCTTCTTTCGGGTACCAAAGTCCAACACTTTGCGTCCCTTTAAGGCATCTCAAGATCTTTTTAGTTGCACTCAAGTGACTTTCTTTCGGTTTAGCTTGAAATCTTGCACATACACCAACAGCAAACGAAATGTCAGGTCTTCTTGCTGTTAGGTATAGAAGAGATCCGATTATACCACGAAAGTTTTTCTGATCCACCTCTTTTCCTTCGTTGTCAATATCCATTTCTAAGAGATGTGCTCATGGGAATTTTGACGGATGTTTTTCCATCAATGCCAAACTTTCGGATTAGATCCTTAGTGTATTTGGCTTGACTGATAAAAATTCCATCTGGGCATTGCTTGACTTGCAATCCCAGAAAGTAGTTAAGCTCTCTCATCATGCTCATTTCAAACTTGCCTTGCATGAGAGTTGAGAACTTTTCACATAAAGCAGGATTCGTGCTCCCGAAAATGATATCATCAACATAGATTTGAACTAGAAGAATATGATCATTATCTTTGATACGAAAGAGCGTTTTGTCTACGGCTCCTTTCGTGAAACCACAGTTGATAAGAAAGCGTGAAAGTGTATCATACCAAGCTCTTGGAGCTTGTTTCAAGCCATATAGAGCCTTTTTGAGATGATAGACTTTTTCTTGACTAGAGTCAACTGCAAAGCCGGGTGGTTGCTCAACATACACTTCTTCTTCAAGAAGTCCATTCAAGAAGGCACTTTTGACATCCATTTGATAGACTTTGAAGTTGTAAGCTGCATAGGCTAAGAAGATTTGTATGGCCTCAAGTCTAGCCACTGGGGCGAAGGTTTCATCAAAATCAATTCCTTCTTCTTGACAATAACCTTTAGCTACAAGACGAGCTTTGTTCCTAACAATGAGTCCATCTTCGCTCATTTTGTTTCTAAAGACCCATTTAGTTCCAATGACATTCTGATGTGTTGGCCTTGTGACTAGTTCCCATACGTCATTTCGTTCAAATTGATTAAGCTCTTCTTGCATGGCTATCACCCAGTCAGGATCACTTAAAGCTTATTCGATGGATTTTGGTTCCATTTGTGATAAGAAACATGCCATCATATTTTCGTGCAGTGAGGCTCTTGTTCGCACACCTTCTTGAACATTTCCAATAACTTGTTCCGGAGGATGATCTCTTAACCATCTAAGATTGGGTTCCAGAACATTTTGCTGATTTTGTGCATCCATTTCCGGAATATAAGGTAGCTGAACGTAGATCATGGGTTCGGATGGTGCTTGAACATTAGGAGTGTCTTGTTGTATATCAATATTTTCTTGAATTGTAGTTTCGGGCTCAGAGATCTTCAACTGATATTTCGTGTAAGAGGATAATATGTCTTCTTCATCTGAAACTTCTTCTTCATTTGGTTGAGCGATCTGACTTAGATTACTTGATGATTCAATACCAGCTGGATTTTTCTCAGACAGTTCATCGAATTTAACATGAATGGATTCTTCAATCACCATTGTTCGTTTGTTTAGGACTCTAAAGGCCTTACTCATTGATGAATATCCCATGAACAATCCTTCGTCTTCTCTTTCGTCAAAGGATCTCAAGTGATTCTTTCCATTTTTGTGAATAAAGCACCTACAACCAAAGACATGAAAATAACCAATACTCGGTACTTTACCTTTCCATAGTTCATATGGAGTTTTGTTGTAGGACTTGTTGATTAGAGATCTATTTTGTGTATAGCATGCTGTGTTTATGGCTTTGGCCCAAAACCGTTTTGGTAAGCCTGAGTGAGCGATCATTATTCGTGCTGCTTCTTTCAAGGTTCTGTTCCTCCTTTCGGCTACTTCGTTTTGTTGAGGAGTTCGTGCTGCCAAGAGTTGATGAAAGATTCCATTTTATGCACAGAACTCTTTTATAACCTTGTTAACAAACTCGGTTCCTTGATCTGATCTTATCCGAATAATCTTGACCTCCTTTTCTGTTTGAAGTTGCCTCAAGAGGTTAGGAAGAACGACTTCTATTTCGTTCTTTTTCTTTAAGAAAAGCACCCAAGTATATCTCGTGTGATCATCTACTTTGATGAGAGTATACTTTCTTCCACTCAGACTTGCTGGATCAACAGGTTCGAAGAGATCTATGTGTAGAAGGCTTAAGGAATAAGAGTTTGCATCCACATCCTTGGACTTAAAAGAGGACATGATTTGTTTTCCCTTTTGACATGCCTCACAAATTTTGTCTTTTATGTAGGATGCTTCGGGCAGGCCTCTCACGAGATTTTTCTTGGCTAATTTGTTGATTGTTTTCAGATTTAGATGACTCAACTTGTTGTGCCATTCTTGACTAAGATCTGCATTACTTTTAGCCACAAAACAAATGTTAGTGTTAGAAGAATTCCACGAGATTACGTACATGTTTTTCTTTCATTGACCCGTTAATGCGATTTCTCCATTTCTCGTGTTGATTATTTTGCAGTCGTCTTTGGAGAATTCAACTCTGTAGCCTTTGTCACAAAACTGACTTGTACTCAGGAGATTGAATTTTAATCCTTCAACGTAAGCTACATCTTGGATGGTTATTCCCTTTTTGATGATATTTCCTGTTCCACGAGTTTTACCACTGGTTTCTCCTCCAAAGATGACTTTAGGTCCATCGACCTCCTTGAAATTGCTCAACATTGCTTTATCACCAGTCATATGTCTTGAGCAGCCACTATCGACATACCATATGACTTGTTTGTCCTGCAAAAAAGATTATATGTTTTTAGGTACCCCTTGAGTTTCCGGTCCTTGAGGGTTAGATGTCAGCTTTGGAATCCACATGAACCTAGAGTTTCCTCGACTCATCCTCGGTCCTTTATACCCATTAGATGTACGGTAATTATAATGGATACTGGCAAAGGTTTTAGCATTATACCTCTTGTGAAAATATTCTTCAGGAGGATTTTCATAATACTTGGAATAATTGTTTTGTTTACGCAGATGAATTATCTCAAATTCAGCTCTTGATAGAGGTTCTGGGTAATCAAACCAATCTTCCTCTGATGGCCCAGTCCATCCATTTCCATAACCTGATCCTTTGAAAGATCTTTCGTTTTGTCTGATTCGTCCATTTCTCGGGATTCCTTGAACATGATTCTTTTGCGTTGGCTTTGGACGATATTGCCTCTGATTAACATTCGGCCTTTTCCTTGAATGAATATTCTTATTAGGCTGACCTTTCTTATGGTTTAGATTTTGTCTATTGCCATTTGGTCCATTCCTTTTGACATATTTTTGTCTAGGATTGCCTTTGAAAGATCTTTCATTTCTAGGATCCACAATTCGTTGTACAGCCTTACCTTTCGGTTGGCTTGTCGATTGTGGTGTGGCGACATTGTTAACTTTCGTCATAGGCTCAGAAACCTGGGTAGGACCTTGAACAAATGCAGCTTGAAAGCCTTCGTGAGAATAAGCATTCATGGATTTGTTCAAGCCGACTTGTGAAGAGGAGCTGGGGTTAAAACCAATTCCCGTTCTTTCCCCGGACAGTCTAGATTCATTCACCATTCGGTCCATTAGATTGGACAAATTGTTGAATTTATTCAAGACTTCAAGCAATTCTTGCTCTCTCTTTTCTCTTACTGTACACTGCTCTTTCAGGACGAGAACATTTTCCTCAAGTTGCTTCTTAGCAATGGTTAGCTTTACGTTCTCGATTCGAACTTGCCTTAACGCATTGTAGCTAATCATAAGCTGAGAGTTCTCATCCTTTAGCTTAGAGTATGTGCTTTCAATTATCTTGAACCTCCTCATCATTTCAGAGACTGATTCATTGGAGGTTTGACTTCTTACAGAACTAGACTCCGCTAAATAACAGGAGGATGATTGAGAATTTACCTCATCATCATCGACCATAAGGCATAGATCTTCCGATTCTTGGCTAAATAGACACATCAGCCCTTTTTCTTCTTCGGAATTCTCGTCCTCTGAACTCGAGCTTGAGGAGCTACTTTCGGCTTCAGCAGTGTCAGATGGTTCGTTAACTACCATTGCCTTTTTTCTTCTTTCGTTTCTGGAGTTCGTTGATTCTGGCTTATCATTTCTTTTGTAGCTTTTTCCAGCTTCTTTGGATGAGCTCTTGGTAGCATTGCCGTCTTGGTGCTTGCTCACAATTGGATGAGGACAATTTGCCTTGAAATGTCCTGGCTTCCGACAGTTGTAGCACAGTAATTGTGAGTCTGAAGCTTCTGGCTTTGAGGTTTGAGGTGAACTCTCGTGCTGTCTTCGGTGTCCCGAACGTTGAGAGTCTTGGAAGTTGTTCTTCTTCATAAACCTCTTCATCTTCCTAACAAATAAGGCAAATTGTTCGTCAGATAAAAATTCACAGTAGTTGGATTTTGACTTGTGAGATATTGACGCTTGCTGGTTGGCCACAAGGGCTATGTTTCTTGTTTCAGGTTCTTTAGCGTCCTTTGGTTCGTGCTCAAACTCGTAGGCCTTAAGATCACTGAAGATTTTGGCTGTGCTTGTAGTCTTCATGTCTCGATTATCTCTCATTGCAATAACTTTCATCTCCCAAGACTTTGGCAGACCACGAAGTATCTTCAAATTCTTTTCCTTCTCTGTTAGTTCCTTCCCGAGATCTGTAAAATCACCCATGAGTCTGGTGAACCTCAGTTCCATGTCCATGATAGTCTCATTTGGCAGCATCTTGAAGTCTTCAAACTTCTTCATAGCTACTGTCAGCTTGTTGTCATTCTCCTGTTCATCACCTTCACCCAGGTTCATTAGAACGTTCCAGATCTCCATGGCATTCTCGCATTTTCGAACTCTGGGGAACAATGAATCGTCGAGAGAGTTGTAGAGAATATTTCGTGCTACATTGTCCAGGTTCGCCCTTGTTCTTTCCTCTGAGGTGAGTTGGTCCTTTGGTTTCGGTATCATCTACGCAGCGCCTGCTCCTTGAGCTGCGGCCTGTGTGTTCGCCATCATGACTGTGATTGGTCCGGTGGTGATTACATCCCACATTTCGTCATGAATCGAGCAGAGAAGTGCCTACATTCTGACCTTCCAGTCATCGAATTTTGCGAGGCTAAAAGAAAGCTACTTGGAGCGGTTAGCGTGATCCTTTTCCATTTTTAGAAAAAATGTGCAAAGATGAAAATATGCAAATTTTCAAATAATTTTGATAAGGGATCTACTAGGCAGTAAATGCAAAGCCTTTACCGATCAAGGTATTGGCTCTGATTCCACTTGTTGGTCCCGGTCGAGTTATAGCGAGAGTCTAGAGGGGGGGGGGGGGGGTGAATAGACTCTTTTCGTGATTTTACGAATAACAACCTTTCGGTGTTTTGGCGCAGCGGAAATACTAAATTCGTTTACTTGCTTTGCACGGTTTTGACCTTATTAGAAAAACTTTCGGATTGAGTGTGGAAGATAATATGATGCAGAAAATAGATAAAGTAAATAAAGAGATAAGGAGACGAGAGATTTTATAGTGGTTCGGCCAACTTTGCCTACTCCACTCTTCTTCCACAACTTATGGAAGGTTTGCACTATCACTCGTTAGTACAAATATACAAGAAGCTTCCTTGATCACTAAGCTGGACAACTTCCTGCAGGTTTTTCAACTCCACGAGTTTACTCCGCCTCTATCAACTTCTTCTTCAGAGTTGAGGTTGGTAGAAAGTGAATTCTGATTTCTCCAACGTGATGAAGTTTTGACTGATGAAAGATGGTTGCATCGTACAAGTTGCAAGGCTTCTTCAAGGTGTAAGATGAGGATCAATGAACTTCTTAAAATATCTTAACACCTTAACACTGGTTCGCAAAAAGTTGATGAGGACTTAGAAGTTTTAAGAGCTTTTGCTTAGAGGATAGATTGAGTGAAAAGAACCAGCCCTCTTAGTTGATGAAGGTGGGTTTATATAGGTGAGGAAAATTCCATCCGTTGGAGGGAGATGAAATTTTCAAACCTAATATCCAGTGGGTAAGGACCTGGGAGCTTCCCGCATTAAATGCTCCATTAATGGGTTTTGTACCTTGTAGCCGTTGATGGCATAGATAGTCGTAGGGTTTTGTCTTTTAGCTATAGAATAGTACAACTTCATTTAATGCTTCTTGGTATGCGTGTCCCATATGTTGAGGACCTTTTTGTTCCTAGGATGTTGTCAAATCAGACAGTGAAGACATTCTTCTTGTTATTGAAGACGAAGAATGTCTTGAAGGATTGTCATAAAAAAGACTGTCTCTTTATGTCTTGAACCTTCTTTCGTCTTGATAGCCTAACATCTAAGCATAACTCGTTTTCGTGTGTTTGACTAGCTTAACACGAATTACAGTGTGAGTTATGGCAACTCTCGTCTAGGACGAAAGTAGCGATTTACAAATAACAAAGGTTAGGGGTCTACATTCTAAGTTACATTGGTATCATCAAAATCCTAATACAAGTTGGTTGACCAATGAATAGTAAACATATTAGGTAAAATGTGACAAATGGAATAATTGACTTAGTTTATCCTAAAGAAACACATTTTCCATGTGTAATCTAGTATGTTAATTAAATACCAATCGCGTTAAATCGTAACTGAAATTAAAAATATGCTAGAATTAAAGGTTTCTGGTACTTTGTGCTTCTTGTGTTATAATTTTAATATTTTCTTTTAATTTTACCCTCACATAACTCTAAGTTATATTTTTGTTTGTTGTAGTGTAATTTTCTGTTACTTCTAATATCAATAAAAATATAATAGGTTTTGATATTTTCATAAACTTTTATTTTCTCTCATTTATAGAAGAAAACAACTCAAGTACCGTTTATATTACATAAATGTAGGCAATATCAACCTAGCACTATCGTCAAATTAAGAGCAATCTAACGCAAGTTCAAAATGAATTGTTTGACAAAAAGGAAAGTGAAAGTAAATCCTTTGGATAAATAGTCAACATCTCTCATTTAAGTGAAGTAAGACAAGTACAAATTATATTATTTCAAACATGACAAATTTAAATTTTTTTTTCCTCTCTCACTCTGATTTAAGGAAGAAATGGGTGCAAATAAACTAATTCAACCGCGCGCATTGCCACCTGTGGGGATCGATGCCATGATGGCAAACTATAATATCACTTAGATACAACACAAGTGCAAATTATATTACTTCAAACCTAACAACATCTTATTAAGTGCACCATCTGTGGGGATCGAACCCACGACCACGTGGTTAAAAGCCACGCGCTCTACCACTGAGCTAAGATGGTCAACTATATTAATATTTATAGCTTCATTTAGGAAACAACACATGTACAAAATTTTAAATTTATATACTTCGAAACAACATTAAAAGTAATAAAAACAAATAAAGAAAAAAATATATGAAAGAGTTGGTTGACCAATGAATAGGAAACATATTAGGTAAAATGTGAAAAATGGAATAATTGACTTAGTTTATCCACAAGAAACACATTTTCCATGTGTAATCTAGTTTGTCAATTGAATACCATTCGCGTTAAATCGTAACAGAAATTAAAAATATGTTAGAATTAAAGGTTTCTGGTACTTTGTGCTTCTTGTGTTATAATTTTAATATTTTCTTTTAATTTTACCCTTACATAACTCTAAGTTATGTTTTTGTTTGTTGTAGTGTAATTTTCTGTTACTTCTAATATCAATAAAAATATAATAGATTTTGATATTTTCATAAACTTTTTTTTCTCTCATTTATAAAAGAAAACAATTCAAGTACCGTTTATATTACATAAATGAAGACAATATCAACCTAGAACAATCGTCAAATTAAGAGCAATCTAACGCAAGTTCAAAATGAATTGTTTGCCAAAAAGGAAAGTGAAAGTAAATCCTTTGGATAAATAGTCAACATCTCTCATTTAAGTGAAGTAACACAAGTACAAATTATATTATATCAAACATGACAAATTTAAAAATTTTTTTCCTCTCTCACTCTGATTTAAGGAAGAAATGGGTGCAAATACTAATTCAACCGCGCGCGTTGCCACCTGTGGGGATCGATGCCATGATGGAAAACTATAATATCACGTAGATACAACACAAGTGCAAATTATATTACTTCAAACATAACAACATCTTAACAAGTACACCATCTGTGGGGATCGAACCCACAACCACGTGGTTAAAAGCCACGCGCTCTACCACTGAGCTAAGATGGTCAACTATATTAATATTTATAGCTTCATTTAGGAAACAACACATGTACAAAATTTTAAATTTATATACTTCGAAACTACATTAAAAGTAATAAAAATAAATAAAGAAAAAATATATGAAAGAGTTGGTTGACCAATGAATAGGAAACATATTAGGTAAAATGTGAAAAATGGAATAATTAACTTAGTTTATCCACAAGAAACACATTTTCCATGTGTAATCTAGTTTGTCAATTAAATACCAATCGCGTTAAATCGTAACAGAAATTAAAAATATGTTAGAATTAAAGGTTTATAGTACTTTGTGCTTCTTGTGTTATAATTTTAATATTTTCTTTTAATTTTACCCTTACATAACTCTAAGTTATGTTTTTGTTTGTTGTAGTGTAATTTTCTGTTACTTCTAATATCAATAAAAATATAATAGGTTTTGATATTTTCATAAACTTTTTTTTTCTCTCATTTATAAAAGAAAACAATTCAAGTACCGTTTATATTACATAAATGAAGACAATATCAACCTAGAACAATCGTCAAATTAAGAGCAATCTAACGCAAGTTCAAAATGAATTGTTTGCCAAAAAGGAAAGTGAAAGTAAATCCTTTGGATAAATAGTCAACATCTCTCATTTAAGTGAAGTAACACAAGTACAAATTATATTATATCAAACATGACAAATTTAAATTTTTTTTTACTCTGATTTAAGGAAGAAATGGGTGCAAATACTAATTCAACCGCGCGCGTTGCCACCTGTGGGGATCGATGCCATGATGGCAAACTATAATATCACTTAGATACAACACAAGTGCAAATTATATTACTTCAAACCTAACAACATGTTATCTTATTAAGTACACCATTTGTGGGGATCGAACCCATGACCACGTGGTTAAAAGCCACGCACTCTACCACTGAGCTAAGATGGTCAACTATATTAATATTTATAGCTTCATTTAGGAAACAACACATGTACAAAATTTTAAATTTATATACTTCGAAACTACAATAAAAGTAATAAAAACAAATAAAGAAAAAAATATATGAAAGAGTTGGTTGACCAATGAATAGGAAACATATTAGGTAAAATGTGAAAAATGGAATAATTGACTTAGTTTATCCCCAAGAAACACATTTTCCATGTGTAATCTAGTTTGTCAATTAAATACCAATCGCGTTAAATCGTAACAGAAATTAAAAATATGTTAGAATTAAAGGTTTCTGGTACTTTGTGCTTCTTGTGTTATAATTTTAATATTTTTTTTAATTTTACCCTTACATAACTCTAAGTTATATTTTTGTTTGTTGTAGAGTAATTTTCTGTTACTTCTATTATCAATAAAAATATTATAGGTTTTGATATTTTCCTAAACTTTTTTTTTTCCCCCATTTACAGAAGAAAACAACTCAAGTACCGTTTATATTACACAAATGAAGACAATATCAACCTAGCACTATCGTCAAATTAAGAGCAATCTAACGCAAGTTCAAAATGAATTGTTTGACAAAAAGGAAAGTGAAAGTAAATCCTTTGGATAAATAGTCAACATCTCTCATTTAAGTGAAGTAACACAAGTACAAATTATATTATATCAAACATGACAAATTTAAAAATTTTTTTCCTCTCTCACTCTGATTTAAGGAAGAAATGGGTGCAAATAAACTAATTCAACCGCGCGCGTTGCTACCTCTGGGGATCGATGCCATGATGGCGAACTATATTATCACTTAGATACAACACAAGTGCAAATTATATTACTTCAAA